GAATAACAGATGCAAAGCAGAAGTTTCCCGTGAATGAGGAAACATCCAAGTAATAGGGAGAGCGCTTTAGGTAGGATTTAAGATAAAGAAGACAACCAGCCCCACGCCTAGTCGTGCGGTCTTGGCGGTAAAAATCGAAATCATCTATGAGAAGGGCAGAGTCAGGAATTAGAGAATGTGCCCAAGATTCTGTTACACATATAATATCAGGCGTCATTTCCAGAGCAATGGCTCTGATTTGGGCCATCTTGTTTATAACAGACCTGGCATTCAATAATATAATATCTAATGTGTTTCGAACGGCCATGCTATTTTCGATGGTATTTTTAAAAAAATTTGGAGGCGGATATGTAAGCTGCGAATTAATGACACTTGGAGAATAAGTACCAGTTAATTTAGAGTTATTGACGTACGGAGAGTCAGCAAGAGAAGGCTGAGTATGAGACCTAAAGGAGGTGGGGATATAGTTTTCAAACATTGGAATGGTAGGGGAGTTAAAACATGGATAGACTTATTGGTAGTTAAATAATGGAGGAAGGGGAGGAAGAGGGAGGCTAGAAGGAAAGTAGGGGCTAATGGGTGAGGGTAGGCCACTAAAAGAATGAAATGGTGGGAAACCAGGTCTAGATTGGAAGTCAGAGTAGATAGGTTGACGTACCTGAGAGCAATTGGCCTTAAGTTTTGGGAAGCCTGAACTAGGTTGGGGCATAAATGATTTAGGGCAATTCATGTATGAATTATTTGCTGGATATATAGTAGGGCTTTGATAAGTAACCGGTACGCAGGACAGAGAATTATTCGGGGATATAATTGGAGCTGCGGGGTTTGTAGACGTGCTGGGCTGAACAGACTTGTTAGATCTAAGAGAAGGCGTCGTACCCCTAAATGGAACTGTACTACCTATCTTTTGGGTCGGAGTCTGATTCAATTTTCGAGTCTCACCGTTCTGACGCCAAGCCACGGGTGACTTAGCTGTAGACCTTACAGCAATAGAAGTTATCGGTCTAGCTGATGTAGACGGATTTTCATGTGTCTCAGCGGGACTATCCGGAGGATACGAAACGACAAATGGGGTTGCTGCTGTTGCTGCTGCAAGTTTAGGGGCAGGCAAATGCGTCAAGTGGCTTGAGTGAGATGGAGATGTAGGAGAAAGAGGAAGGAGGGAGTCAGATGTCGCAGGAGTAGGAGAAGCTGAATCCTTACGGCCACTTGTATTATGACCGAGTTGGGGAGCATTAGACTGAGAAGCAGTGGGTTTACGTTAAAATAGAGACCCGATTCTACGCTCCATAGGAGTAAGATCATGACAAAGGAAAAATTTTGCCTTCTCTAGGTACGCAGTGACACGCCCTCTATGAGTAAAGATTGTGTCAACTTCGATTGATGAAAACAATTTGACTAAGATGGGTGGATTTGTACTACGGGAGGACAAGCGTTTGGCATCAGCTATTTGATACTTGAAACCACATGAATACAGGAAACTGGTCGCAACATCAATTGGCCGAGCAGATCGAGGAACATTTTTTAGCAGGAAGTTGTAAGAACGCTTCCGTCTATCACTAGATTCACTGGCGATCAAGTGAACAAGTGAGTCGAGACGCCTACATTCTTCAGAGGGAATGTCGGAGATGTTCCCGTCGAATAAATGTCCACGAATTGTCAGCAAAGAGCCAAACTTTAGCATAAAGTCATTGCAGTGGTCAAGTGCAGACAGATTAAGCTGCCGACCAATTACAACGGGTGACAACTGATTAGTAACATCATCTGACTTAGATTTAGGTAAAGCTTCTGACTTACGTTTAGTTAGGCCATGTTTGCTCACAAGAGCCGAGAGCTTACGTCGACCAGTGACTTTTGGTCTCATCTTGTCTCGAGGCAATTTGTGATTAAGAAA